GCCAAAAATACAAAAAAAAATCACACTGTGGGACACTCTCCCCAAAAAACCGAAGAGAGAAGTACTAGCAGCCCTTGCTGACATAAGAAACAATTACCACACAACACATGACAAAACCCAAGAGAACTTATAGGACACATAATTAACACTAACAATGAACAGGTGTACAAACAGACCAAACCAAACAAACATCGAAACATAGAACGGTGGCAGCTAGTACTCCGGAGACGACGACTGCCGAAGCCTGCCCGAACAAGGAGGAGGAGCAGCCTCGGCCGAAACCGTGACAAGTGGAGTATATACTGTTGCCTTGGTCAGTATATATACAATCAGATTGACCCAACCCCATTCGACATTAAAATATTCCATTCAGGGTAGATTTACACATAAGCAAATGAGTTGCTAACCCCCATACCACTTCACACCTCACAATACCTCTGCAGCTCAGATGGTAGAGCACGCCGCTTGTAACGCCAGGGTAGTGGGTTCAATCCCTGGGACCACCCATACACAAAAATGTATGCACGCATGACTGTAAGTCACTTTGGATAAAAGCGTCTGTTAAATGGCATATTATTACTATATTATTATAGAACATTTGGGTACCATTGGGACACGCTTTTACAGAACCCTGTTGCAGGTCTATACGTGAAGAACTGAATTATTTACAGAGCGTTGAATGCAGTGTTTTTCACTAACTGCGGGGAGTGAAATCAAAACCACGTTTAAGGTCAATCTTAACACTTCCGGTTGCACCAGGAAGCTTAAAATCAACACAGGTAATCCTTATAGTCATAGAAGACAGTTTGATATGGCAATCATAACCCACATAGGCATCAGGTTGAAGTTAGGGCAGCAGGCAATGTATTTCTATGGAAAATGACCCTAAATGCACCCTGTTTTCACTGTTAAGGGTTAATTCCACATGGTCAAGGGTAGGCTTGCACAGATCGGGAGGACCTTAGGAGCGTTCCTGTGGTTGAAATGTGTTTCTAGCCTCAACGGTTCTAATGCTCTCACCCAAAAGCACCTCAAATTTAGGTCAGGCTTCATTTTGGGCCTTGTCCTGAGACCTTTCATGATGTCTATATTTTAGCCCAATAAACGTCAGAGCCCGCTGATCTTCACATATGTGGCTATTTATTTGCCCCCCAACCATAATCTGGAAATATATTAATTTCAGACTTCTGGACATAAAACTTACTATCTAACCCTAATCGCTTGTGAAAACCACACACAGACATGTGAAATCCCTTAACTAGATGAGCCTCAAACATCAGAGCAATGGCCAAGGCGACAACACCTTGGGTGGGCAATTGTCTTCCAAATGAATGTTCATATTAACACGCCATTCTCCAAATCAATGTTCCTATATAACATGCCATTCTCCTTGCATTATGCTGTTGGGTCAGGGAGGAGGGAGGTTGAAATGCTGGGAAAAACTTCTCCACAGAATTTGCACGTAGCATTTCAACATTTTTCAAATGAGAGTAACGGTTTGTGACTGGGCAGGGAGTGCAGGCCTAAAGGCCTGGATGTCTGTGCTCTCAAAAAAACCACGGATAAAAACCCGGAATGTAATTATATTATTATATCTGCTGTACCTCTGGAGTTACAGGGAGTGAGCTGTACTCTCAGGCCCATGGGAGAGGGGTTTTGAGCTGGCAGGGAGTGTAGGCCTAGAAGCCTGTAGTTCCAGAGGTCACAAAGGTCAATGTGGGCCTGCATGGAGGTCAGCAGGGACACAGGGAAAAGGCCCAAGTGAATAGGTGGGTGAGTCAAACTGTCTCACAGGGGGGAAGAGCAGGCAGACCCTGTGGAGGCTGGCTGCTCTCTCCCCCTTTTTTTTAGGCCTGCTGTACCCCTGGAGTTACCCCTAATGTCAAATAACATTAGGCTATGTTAATCTATTCTTTATTAAAGAATCATCAAAGTTTGTGAAAAAGTAGACTGTGGGTGGCGCTATTGAGCACCCGATGGCCACCAGGGGTATGGGATTGCATAATTATTTCTGATTAATGTAAAATATGATTTGTGCCAAGCCATAAGACTGAGCTACAAAAAACATTCCATGACCAGACCTGACCTCTTACAAACCAGGAAACCTTTGTAAAAGGTTAATGGCAGAAAACAAGTGTATGTATAGAAATGCTTATAGAAACGTTGTTACATCGTTATTGATGCTTCAAGGAGCTCAAAAAATTGACAATATTAACATTCAACAGCCGATATGTGGCCTTTCAACCCCTATACCCATTACCCATTATTTGTGGTCCTCTGTAGCTCAGCTGGTAGAGCACGAAGCTTGTAAAGCCAAGGTAGTGGGTACGATCCCCGGGACCAACCATACACAAAAATGTATGCACGCATGACTGTAAGTCGCTTTGGATAAAAGCGTCTGCTAAATGGCATATTATTATATTATTACCCGCATGGCCTTATAACCGCACTTCTATTGCCATGGTCCTCGGCACATCATATTCCTGATAAGCAACTGCTTTTCTAAAAAGCAGTTGAGGCATGATTTGGCTTTGATCTTCATCAAACATTTTCGCGGACAACTAGCTTAGAGCGCAAACAGATACAGTCTGTCTCAATGTGCTAAACATGCTGCATGTCAATATGACTCAGGGGTAGGCCTATATCCAACAGAAAAAATTCAGGTAAATTAATATATGTAATAGCATTAAATATACTGTGTATATAATCCATATATATATATATAATCCATATATATATATATATATATATATATATATATTAGGGCTGTCAAAAATAGCGCGTTAACGACGTTAATTAGTTGTTTGCTGTTAATTACGTCAATTTTTTTAACGCATTTCACGCATGCGCAGTGTGACAAATTATTCAGGTCAGGAAAGTGGTTGGGAGCTAGAGGCGAGATGGAGCAAGGTGAGCCTATTGACGGATTCAAATATAAAAAGAATGATGATGGTACAGTTAACAAGTACAAGGTTATTTGCAAGATTTGTAAGAAGGAGTTTCAATTTCACCGGAGCTGTTCAAGCTTGAAGTACCATGTCAACGCCAAACATGCGTTTGCTGGGCCGTCAGATTCAGCAAGTGGTTTGCGCCAGACCACGCTGAATGTTTTGCAGGCAATTAACAAAATCAACCTCAGATAATTTGACCAACACAATAGCAAAATGGATTGCAAAGGATTGTAGATCCATTAGCATTGTAGAAGACTCAGGTTTCCTTGATGTTTTGCAAGTGGCGTCTCAAGACTCATTCTATAAGCCACCGTCAAGAGCCACAGTTATGAAGAAAATCCACGAGCTCTATGAAAACGAAAAAGAAAAAAGGAAAGAGGTCTTGGCTCAAGTAAATCATATCGCCCTGACAGGAGACCATTGGACATCAGTGAGTAACAACAATTACCTCGGAGTAACTGCACATTTAATCAGTGACACGTGGGAACTGAAGTCTTTTGCGCTGACTATATTAAAAACTGAGGAGCGTCATTTTGCGGAGGCTTGTAAAGAACAGTTCCTGTCTGTTGCACGTGAGTGGGACATCGTATGCATTTCAGAAAAAAAATGGTTAGGATTCAGGTGTAATTGCAAATAGTGATTAATCATGATTAATCCACTGAAAATTCTGATTAATTTGATTAAAAATTTTAATCATTTGACAGCCCTAATATATATATAACAAAAAATAAGATATGTTGATATACATGTAGGCCTATGTATTTTAATATATAGCCTAGCTACGCCTAGCCTATAGGCCTATAATAAACTCAGATATGAATTGCGAAGATCAAGGTCAGTCGTCCAAAATGCAACATTTTCATTACTTTTGATTATTATTTTCTCATTACTCATAAGACATTCACTAAGTACTAAAGTTGATCAGCCCAATCCACTGCTCATAACTAATATATCAACACTGTACTATGTGCTTAGGCATCTGGTTATAAGTAGTCCACTTTCCAAGAAGTAGGGTGGAATTTGTCTCCCGAGTGGCGCAGTGGTCTAAGGCACTGCATCGCAGTGCTAGCTGTGCCACTAGAGATCCTGGTTCAAATCCAGGCTCTGTTGTAGCTGGCCGTGACCGGCACACACATGCGGCGGCGCACAATTGGCCCAGTGTAGGGGAGGGAATGGCCGGCAGGGATGTAGCTCAGTTGGTAGAGCATGGTTTTTGCAACGCCATGGTTGTGGGTTCGCTTCCCAAGGGGGGACAGTATATAAAAATAATAATAAAAAAAAATGTGTGCTGTCGCTCTGGATAAGAGCGTCTGCTAAATGCCAAAAATATATATTTGGAAAGAAAGGATCCTGTACTTTTATCCATTGAACTAACATTGTTAAAGTAGAAAGACAGAAGGAAACAAGAGTGACCTTTAAGTCTCAGATTTACATGCATTCGTTCCAAACATAATGTTGTAGCTTAACTATATTGGAAAAGGCACAGGTAAAATGAGGAACTATGTATATTAACCTGTGTGCCTTTTCTAATAGTGAGCCAACGTTTTATTCCAGGACCACAGACAGCTACTGCTAGCTAGTGCGGTAGAAATGCAAGGAATGCCGTGGCGAGTTCAGAACCACGGCAGTGGAGACTGGAGAGTGTCACTAACAACAAATAGGAAGACCACAAGATGATTTCTGCCTACTGTAAACAGTCAAATCACGATAAAATCTGTGATTTTCAACCATCTGACTTGGTACTGTCTGATTCATATAGCCTGATTTTTGTTTGTTCTTTATTATATCAAATTATTGCTTCTGTATGGGGTGCTTTGGCTGAAAGACCAACACGTTTGATCTGGAGCCCATTGACTAGATAACTTGCA